GGTCATCCCCCCTCTAATTTTGTTGAAAGCAAAGGACTGGAAACCATCTGACTTGCAAAAGGATTTATTACCCAATCATTTAAATGACTCAATCAAATCTGTTAGTCTTGTTTAGAGAGCATCTTAAAATTAGAAAAGATTGAGAAAATAGAACTATTGTTAATTTCATCATATTGCCATTACAATTTTTTAAAATAATTTTTATAATTTTATCTTTTGCTTTAAATATATTTTTGTTAGGACTTTGTAGCTGCAAATTCAGGCTAATTCTAATTATGGAAAATGTCTACCACATAATGTAATTGGAAAGTCCTCGCTGGCAAACCAGTCAAAACAGATTTCCTTCTACTGGAAAAAGGCTGGCTTCATTTTATTCATGTCTCCATAAAAACCATCTCAATTCTAAAGTCTAAGATAGAGCTGTGCCATGAACTTGTTGCCTGGGTGAAACAGGTACTGCCAGTATCAGTATGTCTTCCTAATGCTCTCTTTGCTTTACTTCCAAAGGGCTTCTCTCTCAGGATTGACGATGGTGGGATGTTTCAAATTGTCCCTTTACTTGCAAACCCAGATGTTTTTAATGCCTAGGAGCACCATGCCACAGTAATACTCAGGATGTCTAAGAAGTATGCCTTTCTTTTGTAAAGTGAGAGAATGGTGATTGTGAAGGAGGAGGTAGGGAAGGAAACCCTGAAGGAAGGGAGAATGGAGAAAGAAGAAAACATACTGAATTTGACTTCCTTAAAAACCTATGCCTTCTGGAGAGTATGTACCTCTAAGGGTATGTGTATCCTAGTTTGAAGAATGCCCATCTAATGTATACTCTGCCCCACTCCACTGGACATGATTATTGTTTTATACAGTCTGTGTCTGCTTCATTTTTCCCACATTCACCATTCTTTCTTGCATTGGAGATCTTTTAGTTCTTATCTTCTTCTTGAAGTGCATCCTTTACAATTGCCTATGGTGAGGATCTGTTGATAGTAAGCTCTAAGTTTGTTTTCTGAAAATATATTCTTTAAAAAGATTTCTTTGCACTTAAAATGATAGTTTACAATTCTAGGTTATTTCCTCTCAAAACTTTGACATTATTCTGTTTAAGATCTTCTCTGTTACTGTAGTTTCACCACAACCTGTTATCTTGCTTATGACTTGTGCCTCCTAAATCTCATTTCTAACTATGATCAAATCTAGGAAGTTCTATTATTTAATATTGCCTCTCTCCCACCTGTTATTGTCTGGAACTCCAATTTAATATAGATTAGACCTTTTTCACTCTTTTCATGTCTCTTAACATCTTTTGTTTTCCATGTTTCTGTGCATTTCTCCTGTATACGAGGTCGTTTCTTCTCAAGTGTTGTTTTCTTCAGCTGTGTCCAATCTGCTGTTTAAGTCAGCCATTCTGTTTTTAATGTCCATTACTTTTTTTTTTCCCATTTGTAGACATTTAAAATTTTGTCTCATCATATTTCAGTGACTTTTATTCCTTGGTTGGCTTTTTGATATCTTCTATTAAATATTTTAGGCACAATCATTTTATATTCTGCATCCAGTACTGCTAATATCTGAAGTACTTAGTTTCTAATTGTTTCTTATGTATAGTGGCTTATTTCCTTGTGTTTTGTAATTCTGGATTGTGGCCTCATATTTGGGTGGGCTACATCTACTGGCATCCCATGAGGCCCAACTTGAGGATGCATCACCAGAAAAAGCATTTGTTTGCTTTTGCCAGGCATACCAGGGCACTTCCAACTGAGGACCACTTTAATACCTTGGCTCGAGTTTCGCAGGCCTTGATAGTAATATAAATCTGAACTCTAATGGCATGCAAGGGCAAACCTGTGGTTAAGAATTCTTGTGGAAGACTTTTTTCCCACGTTGAGCTCAAACTGTTACAAATTTCCAAGTATATTTTTTATGTGCCATGTGGCTGTTACAAGTCCGAGTTCCAGGTTACTTCTTTAGCCTCAGTTTCTTCATCTGGAAGATGGTGCTAATAATAATACCCACATCATAGGATTGTTGTAAAGTTAATATTTGTAAAGCATTTAGAGGAATGCCTGGCACACAGAAACCAAAAAAACCAAAGTCATTGCTGTCAAGTCGATTTCGACTCATAGCAACCCTACAGGACAGAGTAGAACTGCCCCATAGAGTTTCCAAGGAGTGGCTGGTGGATTTGAGCTGCCGCCCTTTTGATTAGCAGCCTGAGCCCTTAGCCTAGCACAAAGGATTAATAAATATTAGCTATTTAGTGTTACCTATTATTGTTTTTGGAGCGCTTGTGGTGCAGTGGTTAAATGCTCGGCAAGTGGTTTGAGGGAAGCAATGGCTTTATTTCTTTTCACTTTGGCTGTCTTTTGGTCCCTAAGGAATTCCGTTTTCTTTATTGAGCTCAGCCATTTATTTGAGGGCATTTGTTAAATTTTATCAGGAATTTTTAGGTGTTAAGTAGTAAGAGTTTTTAGGCTATCTAGTCTTCCATACTGCTGAAAATAAAAAGTTCAAATGACACTTTTTACTGTATTGAAAAAGACATATGAACATAACTGGTTGCAAAACAGCTTAACCTGATTCTTGACAGTTGGATGAAAGCTGGATACTAATGATTTGGTCATTTTATTACTCTCTATTCTGCCATAGGTATATGTATGTGAAGACATGTTAATTTTTAAAGTCCTTGCTAGTAAAATAACTGAAACTGTCCAACAAGATATGAGTTTTGGCAAGCAGTGTGAAATGGAAAAATATACACAAATGAGTAGATAGGGCCATATCTGGATCTGGCAAAAAGTGTGTCTACTTAAATGTCTCTTGATTTTTTCAGTGTGTTTAGTGGGATGGAAAAATGGTTAGTTTCTTTCTTTTAAAGTAGTTTGAATGCTGTATTTTAAGAACATTTGTACCAAAACAAGAAATTTTAAAAATCTGTACTACTACACATATGAGCATTGGCTTACCTGGGGGAAGGTGGTTAGTTGGTTCAACCTTGAATTATGTCTTCATAGAAAAAATGTCATGACAAAGGGCAAAAACATGGATGAGGGGGAATACCTTCAAGTTATTGTTCACTTTAATAATAAAAAAAGTGGCTCAAATTAAAGCAGTCAGATGGCTCTATGTGTACTTGTGTGGAATAATCTATATATAGCAAATGAAAAAAGCAAGATGCAGGACAGTGTACATGTATTCTATCATTCATATAAAAAAACACAAGCTTGATTATGCAGAGCATTTTGGGAATGATCCACAAAACTGGAAACGGTGGTTTCCTCTGGGGAGAAAGATTTCCTTTTCATTATATACCATTTTATATGTGAATGTATTACCAACTCAAAAAATCAAAGTTTTTTAAAAGTGGCTTGCCACATTGTCTTATTTAAGAGATTTTTCTTGTGAAGGATAAACACTGTTAACAACTCTAAGGTAAAGCTGTTCATTTACAAGAAAGAAAATAAGCAATTGTTGTAATTAAGAATTGGATAAAGAAAATTATTATGAAAATTTAGTAGTAGTATCTAAATAAATCAATCTTTCTTTACTCAGAGCCCTTTGCTTTCTCTGAGACAGGAGAGTGACCACTGGATCAAAGACCTTTTAAGTCTGCTACCTGACATAAACACTGACCTCTTAGCAAGAAGGCCCACTTCTTAAAAGCATTCTACAAACAGTAACCTGAAAAACATTGTAATCTACCACTTTTTCCCAAGTATCTGGGCATTGTTCACACACTGATAAAACTCACTTAAGTAAAGTGTAGGGAAATAAAATTTGCCACTTACGTGCTTGATTCTCAAAATATTTTACATTAAAATAGGAGAAACTGGATGTCCAATCCAATAAGTAAAATCAGTCTCTTTAATTCAGCTCCAATTTCCAAAACAGAAAACAAGATTCAATAGCATCTAACTCATTAACCAAGGCATTTTGTTTTTCCTTTATATCATTTAAAACATTAGTTTTAGTTTAAAACAAAAATATATTAAAGAAGAGAATGCAAAATTTACATGAATTATGGAGTTAAGATGGGAGCACACTATTTCTGGCTTATGTAACTGGGGGGATGGTGAAGCTGAGGCCCAGGACTGAGGGTTGGGGCATAGATGGAGTACTCTAACTTGAGTCATTCTCTTCTATCCCACCCACCAAAAAAAGACAAACCTGGTATTGTGTTTCCAAGAGCACACCCTGGCATCAGGTCCCAATGTGAACAGAGAAGTAGCTACAGCTTGGGCCAGCTCACAGCTCTGCTCGAGCCCCCCACCCCCTTCTACTATAATCATACCTCCCTTCTCCTCCACAACTCTGCATGAAATCCTCAGGATGGCCTGGGCCAGTTAAGCCTCAACCATTTGCTAGTCTGGGCTAGATCAGGAAGGGAAAAAGAAAAAAGCCAGAAGGGAGAAGTGAGAAGAATGATTTAAAAATAATAGTAAAGTTGTGGGGGAAGAAAATTATTTCATTATGGAGATGTTTGAGATTCCGATAAGATATCCAAGTAGAAATTTCTAGTAGGCACCTAGTAGAGAAATCTGGGTATAAAGATGAGAGGTGTTGAGTCATTCTCTTAGAGTCATTGAGGCCATGGGGGTAGATGAGGTCACCTAAGATAGCAGTGGATCTCAGTCTTGTTTGCACATTGGAATCAATTGGCGAACTTAAAAAAAAAAAAAGAAAAAAGATGTCTAATCCTTCTTCCAGAGATTCTAATTTGGCACTGGGAGTTCTAAAAGTTCTCCAGGTGATTCTAATGTGTAACAAAGGTCAAGAACCATTAGTTAGAGTAAGAAAAGAAGCCAGGAATGAAACACAAACATTCGAGGATTACATACAGGAAGGAGCCCATGAGGAAGAGAGATGTGGCCCGAGAAAAACACAGTGGTGTCACAGAAGCCAAGGTACACGTGCCTGGCAGTACATACAGCGACCATGAACTTTTTCAGCCTCTAGGGTTTATTGGGAAGCTGCTGTACCACTGGATTAAACATTCTTAACAGGGTCCTTTATGACTGTTTGAAACCGAAGAAACAGGTATGTGCTACAAACTACTGTTTTCACAGGTATTATATGAGGTGCCTGAATTTTTGGTAGGAAAAAAATAGAAATTTTGAAAATTTTTGTTACACATATGTACCAACAGACCCCAGTGGGGACTCCTGGGTATAACTAGTGGTACTTCACGTGTACCATTAAACACTTAGGGTAGGCTTGTAGGAGGGGCAACAACAACAACAAAAAATCCATAATACCTACTAAAAATGCAGACACACCCAATGATTCAGCATGCTTCCATTAATGAAAAGACATGGTATCAACAAAACACTCAAAGCAGAAAATAATTGGGTCACCACAGGGTTAAGGAGAAGCGGCGAGTGGCGTACTGCAGAGTAGACTCTTAAGTGTCCACTTACCGCGGTGCTATTCAGGCTTTACCACTAAAGTGCCTCTTCCACAGGAGATGGGGATATTCCTAAAGAGTTTAATACATGACCTGGCATTTGATAAACACTGTTCTTTTAGGAGAGTTAATTAATTCCCCCAGAGATCTGGCAGCATGGTAGGAAACAGCCCCTATAAAAGCTGTCTTAACTTCAAAACTGATGCAAACTTTACATTTTGTTCTTCAATATAGTTTTATCTTAACATAAAAGTACTATTTTAAATGGCATACCATAAAGGAAAAACAAAATAAAACTTAATTCCAAACCAGATGAGCCACTACAAGAAGTTGTCTTCATTTTCTGAGCTCTTAATGTATTATTACGTACTTTATACTGAAATTAAACTGCAAACAAATTGTAGCTGATTACAGTCCTGACTTGTCCATGCTAGCTTTAGAAATTCTACATTTTTGAAAACAGGGTTCTCTGCGTAAAAAAAAAAAAAAGAAAACATCTGACTGGATCAGAAATGCTGAGGTCTAGAAAGACTTCCGAATTGTATATACAAATCACACTATCTTTGATATCAGTTAAACTAAGTTTTCAATCCGTTTTTTGGCAATCTAAAGTTTCTGCAGAGATTTTTTAAAAAAATATAAAACTAGTTTCCTCCAATATCAAAATGGAAATATAAATAGGGAAATGTCTCAAAACACTGCCAAGTCAGGAAACAAGCTGTACTGAAGAGGAAACAAAGGAAAGGAATTGAAATAACACAGCACAGATGACACCTCTTTTTCAAATGTCACATTTAATGTTTTCACCACTGTACTTCAAATCTACATTGTACAAAGTGACCAGTAAGTGTGCCACGGTAATTGACCAACCTCTGAGATTGTACCTTTCACACCAGTGTCTTCTTGGGCTCTTTTGATACTAAACACGTTTCTCATTCAAGTGAATTGAAATGCTTCAGTTGGGTTGATTCTCAGGAGCCTCATAAAAAAAAACAAAGATATTGCACCATCTTTGTTTAGTAATTCAATGTTTGTTTCTTTCACAGCAAATAATTACTTCATTGAAGTTAAAACTTCCAGACATAACTTATTAATAGTCTTCAAATTCAGCTCAGATCACTCAAGATGAAAATCTCTGCTAAATACAGATAACTTACAATAACTTTAAACAGTTAATTGTCCATAACACACACCAAGGTTTTTTCCTAGACCAATTTTAAGACGATCCATTAGTATTCCTTGTACAGGTGAAAAACGATCTTCAATTTTGTCTTTTTTTTTTTTTAATATAAAAGTTGGAAGGGACATTCAAGTTTCAAGTCTCCACATTGAACTTAAAAAAAAAAAAATAATCATCATTAGCATGTGGAGGTAAACAAGCCAAGTTGTATAACTCCAGGAGGTAGAGGCCTTCAATTTGTATTCATATATACATATGCACAGAAGAATTCAGTGTTCCAACAGAAAAAAGAATTTGTCAAAAAGTAATAAGTTATTTACTACTGTGACATTTCAAGACTCCCACAGCTTTGCCTAAGGACACAAACACATTTGACATAATT